GAGTTAGGACAAATAATTTTTCGTATGACTTATTTATAAATTTTCATATAACTTATTTTTTCGTATGACTTATTATTAGAAGAATTGAGACAAAAAATTTTCGTATGATTTATTTTGTATGATTTAAAATAAAATTATGCTATTTAACAAGCTGGCTAGCGTAAAAACAGTTTCTGATATATTATTTTTGTATGACTTATTTATAATCAATATATATTTTAGTCAGCTAGAGAATGTAAAAGTTGTTCTAGTATAGTAGAGTTAATTATTGAGCTGACCACTGCAGAAACAGTTCCTGATATACTAAATTTTGTACAATTTATTTTATTATATATAGAATTTAGTCAGCTGAAGGATGCAGAAGTTGTTCTAGTATAGTATAAAAATTGATATGCAAATTATGAGTGGACATAATACACAATGTCATTGAGGGTTGTAGGACTTCGTCCCAAAACCCTCACAATGACATTGTGTGTTCTAGTGATAGTTCTGATTCTAATACAAGTTCTTCTAATACTTCTGATTCTAAAAGTAATATTATTGTTAACATTACCAAGGTAAAAAAGTAAAGTAAAAATCTAATTCTAAGAAATCTTCCTTTAAAGAAATGTCTAACACTAACTGAAAAAAACTCTACTAGAGGAAATTATTCATAAAATCCTCTAAAGTAAACTTAAATTAATTTTTCCTAGATATTTTTTCTGAAGATTTTGATCTCATTATGTTCAAACAGATAGTAGCTCCCTGGAGCTGAAGATAGTATCTCAAAGTAATATTCTTTCAGCTTCCAAAGATTTAGTTCAGTCTAGAGGAGAAGTCCTTAGACAATCTTATAGAAATCTATTTTATTCAGAAAAAGGAGCTAAAAATAAATGTTGTGACCGTAAAATGCAAAATTAAATATTTGAAAATTCCAGCTATAACTCTCAATTCCAGAGCTAAACTTCCAATTATAATGAAAAATCTTATTAATCATATTAAGGCCAAAGTAGATAAATTTGAAAAATATGACCTTAGCGATATAGCTACTATCCCGATTGAATCTATGGGTGTTGTTTGCAATCTGCCTATTACTTTAGCTTCTAAATGTATTATTCATGAAGATTTTGTGGTTGTAGATTATCACAAGCTGATGCTAATATTCTCCAACCAACTCTTGAAGAAATATGAGTGCGCAGTAAACTGAAATACAAATGAGTTAAAGATTCCTCTTAATGGAAAAAACTATATTATTCCAGTCACTATGTATAAAATCAAGAACAAGCTTAAGATAAATTACGTGATGACTACTCCTGAATGTGATGATTTTTAAGCCTAGACTGTATTTCACAAGATTTAAGTGAAAATGTTACATTAAAAAAAAGTGTTATGAGGAACTTGAAAAAATGCTATATAGTATTTTTAAGTATAATGCAAAAATCAATGAATATTATGAAAAATTACAAACATACTATGATGAATTTCTTAGAAAATAAGCAAATTATTTTTTAATATATACTTCATATTCACTATATTTTTTATGTTTCTTTTGCTATCTTCTCATGTAATATAAGGATCAGTTAAGTCTAAATAGGAGATAAAATTAACTCTGCTAAGGCAGATTTGAATTTTGATTTCTTCCTTCCAGTCCTTTTTACCTTTCCACCTTCTTTCAGAACTGAATCAATAGATTTGTTAGGCTCTATCTTAGCATTATGTATTTGTTTTTCCAGTTCTATGAATGGAGAAACATCTTGGCCTTAGATCTCTGACTCAATTCATCTGCCACAACATTTATATTAGAAAGCAAAGCTATTGGCATATGAATTGGTTGATTCCATGCAATCCTATTTTTTCTTCACCTCTCCAGATCTGATAGATACATTTTTGTGATATGTGATATTTATCTATTAAATTCTTTAAAACTTTATCTCTAGGCTTTTTTTAGTACATTGCATAATAAGATCATAATTGGCTAGTGAAAAAGAAGAAGCATCATATCTCATACATTGCCTATACATGGTAGCAATATTTTTTTATATATAATAAATAATTTGAAATAATTTATTAAATAGGATATATAAAAAGTATGTATTATTCTGAATATATAGAATATATAGGATATATAGAAAAATAATATTCCGGATGTATAGGATATACAGAATAAACAGAATATTCAGAAAAAATGTATTATTCTGAATAAACAGATTATATCTATTATCTCAGAAATTTATTTGTGCATTTTTTCTAATATATAACTATATTATTATTATGTCAATATACATACATTGAATGATATAAAAGATAGAAAGAGTGGTTCTTATAAAAAACCCAATATCAGCTAGGTAGTGTATATGAGTAAGATCTCAAAAAAAATTAAGATCTATTACTGAATTTAACTCTAAAATTAATGATCTCAATGAAAAGCTGGTAGATAAGTATAATAAGTGAGAAAAGGAGTTCTAGCAAATTTATGCTGATATGGGAAATCAAGCTAGCTAGTTAAATACGTCTAGTACTAGACTCAGATATCAAATTATTTCTGAATGGAAGTCTCATTCTGAAAGTTAACGTGAGCTTGAGGCCAAATATTCTGCCAAAATTAATTCACTTAAATCAAATATTAAAACATTAAAAAGAGAGGTAAGTTTGCAGAAAGTTTCGTCATTTGATAAGGTTCAGATTCTTTCTCTTAAAGTTAAAATATGTGAATTAGAAAGTAAATTTGAAGACATAGAACTAGAGTGTACATATAGAAGGTGGTCAATAGAAAAGGGGAAAATCTAAATTTTGGTTAAAATTTATATTATTAGAATTCTTAGTTGATCTCAGTCATATGCATAAATTTAGCTTAATAATAAAAATTAACAAAAATTTTGGATTTCCCTCTTCTCTACTGATCACCTCCTATATCATGATTGGGATGTAATAAGAGGGTGATAAAGAAGTGATCCTAAAAAGACCAATTCTTTTAAATTTGGATTGGAACGAGCAAATGAAAATCGCAATTCAAAAGAATATACAATAGAATGTATGCAAAAAGAGATAGAATTATCAAATAACAAATAATTAAATGATAGATTCTTTATTTTCAGCATGTTTGAATTTAATGGAGGAAAATAGGTTCCTTAGAGAGCTGTTAGTGTCAAAAAAAATACTTCATCACAAATAATTTCTAAAAAAGTCCATCTCAGAAAATTTATTTCGAGAAAGGGGATTCCTTTAGAATTAAGTGATATAAAAGCAGTATCATTGTCCCAAGAAATACCTCTAGCAGGTCTCTTTGGAACTGCATCAGTGACTGTTTCTATCATTATAAGTTCTTTAATATTGCCAATGGTAAAGTATTTCATACTTGCTTTACTACTGATTGCAATTATATGGCTTATAGTCAGAAAATTATGGAATTCATGAAAAAAAAGTAATACTAAGTATTCTTCTAACCAGAACTATTTTTTATTATCTCTAGGTATTTCTGAGACTGGGTTGTATGATTGAAAGCTGGAAGTTCAAAGATAGAAATTGAAGTTAGCTAGTATTATTACATAAGAAAAAATATATAAATAATATTATAAGTTTTTTTAGCTAAAATTATTACACCTTTACTAGAATACTTAATAATATAATCTATTTAAGTGCTTTGCTTTAATATCTCTGACTCAGTTATACTCTCAAGATGAAAATATCATAAATTACTAATGCTATTTAGCGTCTCAATTTCTGATATATGATGTAAGATAGGTAGATTAGCAATTATCTTATTTTTTCATGTAGATGAAACTGGGCTGATTTCTTCTAAAATTGATACATGCTCTTTATAACGTATATGATAGACTAATTTGTAAAAAAATAAATTATACTTTTCAATATATTTTACAAGCTCGCTAGGATATTGAACAAAATTAGAGCATATTTTTTCCTTCATTTTGTCATCTATCAAGAGGTTTTTATCTTTTAAATTTTTCTAGCATATTTCATAAATTTCTCCCATAATATTTTGACAGAATTATTTACCATGAATATCTCGTAGCTAAGCCATTCATCATAAAATATTTCATATGATCTACCTATCTTTTGATATAATATTTCTCATACTTTTTTGATTGCACTTCTGTAAGAATGTTTATAAGCAATCCCATGGGATATCATCATCTTGAAAGCACACCATTTAATATTCTCTTTTATAAAGCCCTCAAGCCATAACTTAGCCTGTTTTTGAGCATAATTATCAATCTGCATATATTTTTCGTCTGGATCTTTGATTTGCATGATTCTGCTTGTAAAAGTAGACTTGTATTTCTTATCGTACATGATAAATTAGACATAGTGACCAATGATAGTTTTTTTATAATAATGATATAAATCTAACTCCTTATTCAATTTCTTAGCTACGTTTACAAATTCCATTTTCTCACCTTTAATTAGATTTAATTTTCTGCTATGCAAATCAAAAGTCATGTCTAGATAAGTTACTATATAACTAAAGCGCTCACCTGATATCAAAATCTTAGTATTGCATTTTCTTCTCATTCATCCTATAAAATGCTGAATAGCTTTATTGTCTATATCAGATTTCCATATATTGGTCTTTATAAACTGCTCGAAATCCCATTTCTTAGAATTGATTATGGCATCCAAGAGAATGTTTTCAACAATTTTATGGAATGATCAGTCATTGTTAATATCTATAGCTCTTTACATAATCCTATTTCCTATAGTTTTGAAAACTTAGATTTATCCTATTTTATAGTATCAATTTTTCATATAAAAAGCTCTTTCAGTTTGAAGTTTAAGATATCTTTATAGTATCACTGGGAATAATCTTCTCTGATTACTCACGTAATATATCTAAGTTCCTTTGCTGTGGTAAGTAACTTCCTTATTATCAGACTTTACAACTTTAGGGAATCTTATGTCCTACAGATATCCGGAATACCTTGGAATTACTTCACTTAGTTTACGAACTTAAGAGTTTAGGGATTTAGAAAATTTAGAGAATTTATTTATTCTAAGTGACGAACTCAATCACAAGTTAGTGTAGTGGTTCACGATCAAATCCTAAATGATAAACATGTAGAAGGGAAAAGTAATTATTTTAAAAGTTAATTCCTTTATTTATTACTTGAAACTCATGAGTATTTTAGAACTTACAAGAGAGTTATTTTACAACATGAGCAAAAAG